CCCCCGCCTCCTGCTGAGGGGGAAGGGGAGCTGGGCTCCTCCTGGAATGATGGAGCCCAAACCCACTGAGCCGTATAAGGCGGATTCCTGGGGGGCGGGGCGGCTGAAGCCTTTGAAATCCCAGCCTGACTCTGGCTTTCAGGAATTGGCTCAAAAGTCAAGGCCCTGACTTCTCTTTCTAGATTTTTCCATCCCGCGCTTCCCAGTCTGCTCGCAAACAAACTGGCACATTCTTTGGGACCAGCCAAAGAACAGCTGGCCAGAGCCCCAGACAGCGCTTGGTCCAGACTCTGAAATGACCACTCCCACCCAAGCGGAGCCTTTACCACAGGATGATAACCTCCAGCCCAGGGCTGGGATGGCGTCCCCCAGACTGGGAAAGGGGTGCTGGGTAGGCGGCAGAGAAAAAGACACGAACGTCCACAAATGAGACCCAGTCTATGCAGATCTGGGCCTCCCAGGCAGCAAGCCTACCATCTGAAGATGGGCAGTGTCCCTTTTGTGCGCCTGGCTGATCAATGTGGCTAACGTGGTCCCTGGGACACCTCTGGGCAGGGTCCTTCAATGCCAGGACTGCTAAAAAGGCCAGATACACACATAGTGCCCAAGGCTCATCTATGGGACTCCATGCAGACTGAGGCCAGAAAGCAAAACCAAGAAAGGCGGGGATCCCGGGCCTAGGACTCCTGCCTCCACAAGACATTTCTTTAGGATCCAAGCACAGCAACACTTCTTGGGGGAAAAAAAAAAAAAAAAAAAAAAGTCATTTCTGTGGCAAAGCGCAAGAAGACATGGTGTGGTCTGTCCATCCAGTGGACTATTACTCAGCCATGAAAAGGAATGAAGCACTGACACCTGCTGCAACATAGATGAAGCTTAAAGTCGTCATGCCGAGTGAAAGACACCAGACACAAAAGGGCGACATTATGATTCCATTTATAGGAAATGTCCAGAACAGGTGAGTCCACAGAGACAGAAAGCAGATTAGTGGTTGCCAGGGGCTGGGGGAGGGGCAACGGGGAAAGACTGCCAATGGGCGCCGGGTTTCTTTTTGGGGTGATGAATGTCCCGGAACCAGACACAGGTGATGGCTGCACAACACTGTGAATGTGCAAAATGCCGCTGAATTGTGCACTTTAAATGGTAAAATTAACTATACGTGAATTCTCTCAAGAAAATAAAGAACAGAAATAGTTGAAAACTATAAAAAAGAAGAAGAAATGAGCCTTTTTGCCCCAGTTTCCCACCCTCCAACCTGTCCCAAATGCCTGGGGACACTCAGTCAAGTTCGAGCTCAGGGAAGTTCCAAGTAGCCAGTGCTTTTCGGGGGATACTCATGGAGTGGAGCAGAGGGCACAGGTCAGGTCCTGGGGGTGGGGGGGGGAGAAACTCAATGTCTGAGAAACCATCACCATCAGTATTAAGGGGAGCTAGGGACACACCCCCAGCAGACACGGAGACAGAGCTCAGAGGCAGCACCTGGGGGAATCACAGACACTGGCTTCCTCGGGCTCTTTGTCACACCTGGGGTCCCTGAAGGACCCATGGCCAAGACTTGAACTTCTTTCCAAGGTCCAGACCCTTTGAAAACCGCAGCAACAACCACCAAAAAATTCCCCCAACTCCCTCCAACCCCTTCTCCACGTGAGGAGGGGGAGGCAGGGTGCCTGACATGTCACGGTGCTTTCTCAAAAAAGAGACACTTCCTCTTCAGCCAGGGGCTTTTGGCTGCCACCAGCCTAGAGGTGAACAGAAACTCCCAGGGGCTCAGGGGGAGGCTGCTGTGGGCACCCCCTGCCCCAAAGAACCGGGACCAAGGCCCGACTTGAGGCAGGGAGTAGGAGGGAGGGGGCACTGCAGAGGACTCGGGAGTGACTTTTCCACACACCCCGGTTGATCGAGGCCAAGTTCAGGGGCTGGGCACGCCCACCCGGAGAGAAGGGAGCCACCTTACCCGCGTTCTGTCCTCGATCTCATAAATCCGCAGCTGCATGGGCACGTTAAAGCTGTGCAGGATGTTTCCGCCAAATACCAGAGAGTCTACGGGGGTGTAGACTGCATGGATCCAGCCTGGGGTGGGGACGGAGAGACAAGGTCAGCCTCGGGCCCCACCTACGCCAGCCCGCAGGAGGGCGCAGAAGGCTCAGGTGAGCGTCCAGGGCTGGGGCAGGGGATGCTCAGAGCTGCCCGATGCCCAAAGCCGAGGCTCTGGCTGGCCCAGAGGACTCCGGCCGGCAGCCACGGGACCGCTGCAGGCAGTGACGCTGGCTAGCTCAGCCTGGGCGGGGGGCAGCTGCAGACCAGGCCCTGCCTGCTGAGGACCTTGATGACGAAGCCTTCCTTGTGCTGTTTTCGACCTGGCCGCAGCAGCCACCAGAGACGCAGGCCCTGTTCCCTCCCTGCTGGCTGGGCAGCTGGATGGCCCTCATTCGGGCTGGTCAGACGTCCTTAAGTCTTTGCCTGGACATCCCAGGGACTGCCAGTCTCAGGATGGGTCACAAAGAGTTGCTCGGGGCCACAACTAAGAAGCGACACCTTGCCAGGGCTGCAGGACCCAGACGCCATCAAAACCCTCGAAGGCCCGTTTTCAGTCTCTTCAGCCCCACAGCACCGGTACCCCCACATCAGCCCCGCCCTGCAGGCCACGAGCTGCTGACGGTCTCTCTCCTGCTGCCTGCAGCTTCTTAACGGCTTGGGGCACCTTGGGGCTTTTTCATCCCCCTGAGCTCCTAGCCCAAAGCCTGGCACAGTGAACATGAAAATGCTCATCGGGTGCTACCCTGGGCCAGGCACCGGTCTAAGGGATTAACAGGGCTTAACGCATTTAATTCTCGCAAAATCCCGGGAAAGTGTATGTTATGTTCATCCCCGATTTACAAATGAGGAGACTGAGGCAGAGAAAAGGCAAGTCACTGATCAGGGCTGGAGCCCAGGGAGTCAGCCTCTGCTTGGTCCTAAAGGCCAGGGATGAAGCAGGCCACCCAGGTCCTAGAGTGGCCAGATTTCAAGGGCTCACTGCACCTCCGTGTGGCTCCCGGCTACCGTAGGGGACAGCAGAGAGCTGGGAGACAGGTAACAGCGAGATCCACTCCCATTTACGGATGCTGAGACGACTGCGGAATGAAGTCACAGCTGATAAGCGACAGCACCTCCATTTCTAACCGATACCCTGCACTGTCACCGCATCAAAGGCTGAGCGCGGGCCTGCGAGCCCCAGGGGGCAGACCTGCAAACACGGAGGGAGAGAAACGCGGCGACAAACCAGACGCTGAGGCAGAGAGGACAGGCGGGGCGGAGACTCATGGTGAAAGACACAGGATAAGCAGAGGGGTCGGGGACACGCAGGGACAAGCCGAGATCCCGAGCCAGATTCCACGGTTCCCTCTCCTGCCACCCACCGAGCTGTTGCGGTCTCTCTGCTCCCGCAGGGGACGCATGACAGCTTGGAGTCACGGGGCCACCGGGAGGCCAGGCTGATGGGGCAAAGGCGCCACTGGGGGGAGAGCTCGAAGACAACAAGGCCACTTCTGGCAGTGGGACAGAGCTGGCGGTCGTGGGGGGAGGGCAGGGAAGGAAGCCTTTACGTAACCTGGCTGTGCCGGCAGCTCCCCGCTTCTCTGGCCCCGGGGAGGCACAGGGAGCCGCTGTGCCCACAGGTGTGCCCTTGTCGAGTCACCTGGGCTTCTGACCCCAACCCCTTTACCCCCTCCGTTCGGGTGCCTTTAAAGTCTCAGTTTCCCACCTGCCTCTTCGCCTCAGCTGTGCACCACCTGATTTTCTCAACATTTTAAAAAAATTCTGAAATGTTTTTATTGACTGCAGAGAGAGAAAGGGAGAGGGAGGGGAGAGCGGGACAGAAACATGAATAATCAGAGGCATCGATCCGCTGCCTCCTGCACGCCCCCGACTGGGGATCGAGCGCCAACCCCGGCATGTGCCCTGACCTGGAATCGAGCCTGGCCTCCTGGTTCCTGCGGCGGAGCTCAACCACTGAGCTGCACCAGCCACAACATTTTTATGTTTCTACCGACAGGAGCTACGCTATTATCGTTGCTGTTATTACCGCCATCAGCACTGTTTTAGCAAAATTTCCTACAACCGGGCCTAGGCCGACTGGGTTCCCGTGGATACACGTGGCGGGGTGAAGCCTGAGCGTGGACAAGGATTCCTGGGCCTGATCCTATGCACCTCGAGGGCCCACCTCCTGCCCTACAGAAGGGCCAGGTCCGGGGGCCTGAATTTGAGACTGTCCCCAGTGCTGACTCATCCCGTGACGTGGGGCATGTGACTGTCCCTCTTGTGGCCACCGCCTCCGTGTGGGCAACTTGGTGAGCAAGAACTCACTCCATGTGAGCAACTGTCCACGGCAACCACGGCGACGTCACCCACTGCGGGCTCTGGAAAGCACGGTCCCACGTGACCTGCACTGACCAGCCCCGCCTCTCCCTCCTCTCCTGGCAGGTGGCCCTGAAGACACACCTGACTTACACCTGCTGCCCTGCTGTGTGAGCAACAGGGCAACAGGAGAGGTGCTGCTGCAAGTAGGGAAGCAGGGAACCTGTACTCCCAGTAACACCCCCACTAGGGGTATTCTAGAACCTTCTACCCGCTCTCCTTTCCTCCGGAAGCCAGGGCCTCAAAGGTGGGTCAGGCAGCCTTCCCTGGATTAAAGTCACTGCTCAGTCCCTCCCTCCAGCCCTCTCTCCCCACGTCTGCTTCATTACTTAAACGATTACCTCCAGAAGAACCAGTGAGGGGAAATAATATCGTTCGTAAGCCCCATCCGTACCCACCCCCCCCATGGCGTCTCGTTGGCTGCACCCCAGGAAGCAGGAGGGAGCAGGTGTCCCAGGCTGACGGCTGGGCTGGGGAGCTGGGACCTGCCTCCTGCTCCCGGCCAGAATCACCGACAACATGAAGGCAGCAACAGAGGCTCTTAAGGCCAAGCGACAAGGACAGATCCAGTCGTGGAAGGAAGGCAGGAGACCCACAAACCCTACTAACTGGTGTTCTCTGGGACCTGAGGGAGCCCAGGAGGACAGCAGGGGCACACGGAGTCTTGCCCACTGGTTAGTTTGGAATCCAACCTCCCCTTCCCCACACACACACACAAATTTGTCTTTGTGGCTGCTGCAGAGGTAAAGCCCAAGGTCACAGGACTCAGGGGAGAGTGTGAGAGGCAACCAATTGCCGTGTTTCTCTCACATCAGTGTTTCTCTCTCTCTCCCCCCACCTCCCTCCCTCCCTCTTCTACTCTCTAAAAAAAAAAAAAAATCAACAGAAAAAAAATATCCTCGGATGAAGATTAACAACAACAACAACAAAAGTCTGTCAAACGAGCAAATAATTTAATTCTCCCAAAGTCACACAGCTGAGAAGAGGGACCACATCTCAGCTCTGCCGACTCCCAGGCCACCGGGGAACCGGGTGGGCTCTGAAACCACACACACCTGGCCCGTCTGTCACTTATTAACTGTGTGACCTTGGGCAAGTTTGTTCACCTCTCTGGGCCTCAGGAACTTTCTTTTTTGAAAAAAGGGGGGGGGGGAGGTCACTACCCAGCATAACCAGTCATTCTAATACCACTTGGCTATATCTCTCCATCCAGGAAATGATCCTTCAACTGACTGACGGCGTTACCACACACCTTCGCTTTCCTGGGTAAAACAACCCAATTCCACCTTCAGATTCATCTCGTCTGATTGGTATCCAGACTCCCCTCCAGGTCAACTTACCCTCCAAAGCAAGAGGAACACACTCTCCTACATGTGGCCTGGCGCCCTCATTCTACACAGTGGGACTGTCACCTCCCTCATCCTGGGTAAAATACTTCTATTAATGCAGCCTAGGACCACATCGCACTCCCAGACTCCTAGGTCATCTGCCACATCCACCAGTCCATCTCCAAATAGCTGTAGGCAAGTACGTCTTCACTCAGTCTTCACAACCACCCCAGAGTGTCTTAGTTCCATTTTACCGATAAGAACACTGAGCCACAGAGAGGGTCAGTCACTTCTGTGAAGCCACAGCTTGTGAGCAGCAGAGCCGAAATTTGAACCAAGGCCGTACAGTCTGGCTCCAGGGCTGGTGCTCTTAATTACTACCCTCTGTTGTAGTTATGGAGTTAATTTTGGTTTTGGAGCAGGGAGTCCGAGTGTGAGAGCCACTACTGATGCCAATTACACTTTACCTAGTTCTGCGGGAAGGAGGTGGCCACTCTGGGTCCTTCCCTGAAAAGCCAGGCTTTGAGGCACCCCTGTAACACCCCCAGCCCCCAGGGTCTGCCCCTGCCCAGGGCCTGCCTCAGAGAGTCCTCAGGGTAACACCTACCCCTCCCCTCCCCACAGGACGATCCTATCGCCCAGAAATCTCCATCATGCGGGAAGTCCTGGGGAAAGCGTTCAAACCACCCCTGAGGGAGAGGCCTAGGCATCCTCGAAGGAGAGAATTCTGGCCCACAGGTGGAGAGATGCGGGTTAGACGAGAGGGGAACAGGGCTGTTTGGTCCCTGCAGCCTGAAGCCGCTCCTCTCAGGGCCTGCCAATGGCCAGGAGGCCCGGAGAAAGAAACCCGTCGCTTGGCCTAAAACCCCTGGCTGAGGCCACAGGGACACAGGGACACAGGGACACGCGGGCTCAGCTTCGCAGCAGCCTCGCAGAAACCTACCGGAAGGGATGAAAAAGGTGTAGCCCTGTTTCAGCTCGATCCTTTGGCAGCGCTCCACGCGGTCTCCCAGGAAGATGTCGCTCTGTTTGCCTGACAGCACCCACTCCTCGTACAGTGCCAAGTTGTGCAGGGTTGGAGGAATCAGCCAAAAGATCTTGGGAGGAAAAGGTGGCAGTCAGCTGAAGATCAGGGCCAAGTCTGATTTCCTCCAGGCTCCGCCACAGCCCAAGGAGGCAGCCCCACCTGCCCGGGATTGGGGAGCATGGGAGGAGGACCGGACCCCAAGGGCCTCCGGGGTGGCGGGAGAGCTGTGCAGCCCGTCTGGGGTGTCCTTGATACGCCTTTAGGGAATCTCTGTTGCAGATGCAACACCAGGGTGGGAAGACTTCGTGGACTTGTGGAACATTCTCCTGAGCCACAGGCTTGTCGGGAAGGTGGGGGAAGGAGAGAAGGGCAATTTCCGAAGCCGTATGATAAAACGGCCCAATAAATAAACCCAGCTTATGCTCACTCGGGAGGAAGAACATCTGGAACCAAGCGGGATGACTTCCTAACCAGGATTTCTTCCAGCAACTTTGGTTAAAACTAGCGCACGCAGACCCCCAGACCAGCAGGGCGGCTCACGCGTGTTCTCGGGGAGTGCTCCCGTCCCTGCAGGGATGCCTCCGTCCCCGCGTGGACGCTCAGAGGAGCACACGCTGCAGGAGTGTCCTGCGTGCACGCCCCACACGCCCTTTCCCTGGGTGATGTCTGTCCCCGATGTGCAAGGTGATGCTGGCAACTCGAGTTTTAAGTGAAGGAGTCCCAGTGCTGGAGCTGAACTACAGCCGAGGGAAATGAATGTCGGAGGTCCTTGGGAGCCAAATCTAGGACTCTCATCTGGCCTAACGTGCTCAGACCGCTGGACTGAGTGAGCAAGTGTGAACGGGGGACAGGATGTGGCTCAGGGGTTGAGCACCGACCTATGACCCAGGAGATCGCGGTTGGATTCCCAGTCAGGGCACAGGCCGGGGCTGGGGGCTCAATCCCCGGTAGGGGGCGTGCAGGAGGCAGCCAGTCAATGGCTCTCATCATTGATGTTTCTCTCTCTCTCCCTCTCCCTTCCTCTCTCTAGAATCAATAAAAAATAAATAAAAAATAAATAAATAAAGAGGTGACCTTAATCTTTTCCTTCAAAAGAAGACCAGAGTGAGGAGGTTGCCCCAGGGGGACAAAGAGGCCCTGAAAGTACTCACAGAGCAGGGGGCTGGCTGCAGGATAGGGGTGCAGAAGGCAGGGGAAAGGTGACCGAGCCCCGCCATGGACAAACACCCGGAGATGTGCACAGAGGTGAAGAGATTCAACCCGACTCACCTTCCCACCCCGGAAAACATGGTACCACACGGAAGTGCCTCCGAAGTCGATGTGGAAGTCAGTGAAACAACCTTTCACACTCATCAGACAGTACCTGCAGCGCAGAAGCAGGGGAGCAGAAAAAACGATTCAACGCCGGGATCCCAGGAGGTGAGAAAACAGCTTCAGAGATGCTTGACCTGCTGCCCTTTTATAAACGCTGATGCTGGGGAATTTTCTTTTCTATTTTTTTTAAAACCCAAATCGAATTGGAGTTCCCCGTGGGGGAAGCCCCTGTAATCAGGTGGCCAATCTCAAGCATTGGCCACCTGCCCCCCCCCCCCAAGGCTGGGGGAGGCATTTTTGTTTTTGGGTTCCCACAGGAGAGCTGGCAACCCACAGGCCACTTGGGTCCTTCCTCTCGGGGTTTCTACTCTTGCCTCGCCCACGCTCCTACCCGAGTAAGAGTCTCCCTTTCTGCTCCTTTGAAGCTTTTCTGTCTACAGCTCTCTGGAGCTGCCAGCCCCCTCTGCAGCAGCTGGGCCCCCTGGAATTCCGTCGTAAACCACCTGCACAGCTTGCCAATTACCGGTCCCCATTCAACTCCACATTCATTCAACAATCATTTACTGAGGGCCAACCAGCGCTCCAGCCCAGAGCTAGGCAATGCACTCAGATAAATGCAAAAGACCCCTCCCTGCCCTTAAGGATGGGACACTCTTGGAGCACTGAGCAGGGAAAGTTAAATGGCAAGACCAACTGCAACTGACTGCGAAGGAAGCAAAGCAGCTAACAGTTCAGGGGTGCCAGCCACAGAAGACCACACCGCGTGTGATTCCACGTACGTGAAATGTCCAGAGTAAGCCAATATACAGAGACGGGGTAGATTAGTGGTGGCCGGGGGCTGGGGGTGACTGCTAAAGGGTACAGGGATCCATTTGGGGGTGAAAAAAATGTTCCCAAACTGCCTGTGGTTGCACAACTCCGTAAACGTAACTAAAAGCCACTGAACCGTACACTTTAAATGGATGACTGGTGTGTGAATTATATCTCAATAAAGCTGCTATAAAAAGGTAAAGGGATTAAGAGAAGACCCTGGGGGTGGGGTGGGGTGGACAGGCAGAGGGGGAGGAAAGGAGGGAGTGTCTGGGCTTTAGAGGCTTCGGCTGGGTGAGTGCATTGGGGGGGGAAAGGAACCAGCCAGCAGCCCCCTTCTGAGCCCTTCCTTACAGGAACTCACCAGCCTCCCCCCTCCTTCCTGACCAAGCTGCCCTCCTAGGGGGAGGCAGTGCTTAAGGCGGAGGGAGAACGGAGCAGGCCTCCAAGTCCGGGCCTGGCAGACAGGGGTGCCAGGGTCCCCTCCCTGCCACCCACCCCTTCCCACAAGAGCCACCCCTCGGCAGCCTCCCCAGGGCTCCTGCTCAAGCATCTAGGTACCTCCAGAGGCCCTCACACACATGCTCACCCCACTGACCTCT